CACATCAAAAAAATGACCACCCAAAAATATGACCCTCGTACTGACCTTTATTTTTTCCATCTGTCAGACATTGATTGATCAATATTTACCCTGTCATCTCTTCTTTATGTATTAGTTTGAATGGTTGCATGATATCCATTATTGACGCTGTAATTCGACTTTTCCAAGGACATTTATTTCAAATTTTCAGAGCGTAAAGATAATGGAGCACTTCGGTAATTTCCGGCAGTGTCCGATGTTGTTCGTCTCTCAAATTACGTCACATCGCAACAAACAGCCAATGAAAGTAAAGAATCGCGTAGCCTAATAAACCGTCGTTATTGTTTCTACGGGAGTTTAAAGAAACGTCATGGGACTTCTCGGTAATCTCTGATGTGACGTCATCCGGAGTGGCGTCACATTCTCAGAAAAGGCATTTGGCTTCGGGAATAATCATTTGAACAACGGAGATATCTGCTTATCTGGCAGAGGTCCGTGTTTCAGACCACCATAATTAGGAAATGGTGATCGAAAATCGACCTGTCATTTATTTTTGTCCCCAACTGTACCTCATAACCTGGTGTATATAATCGGCTCATAGTAGAACTTTCCACAGTGATGGTCAGTTTTTATGAGAAATTATTGTTGAGCTACCGGTACTTCTACAAAACGATCTGGCCTGGATCTATGCAAGGAGTGCCGTATCCAATATTGGCGCTTATCTAGTGACCGGAAATGAGTTTTGAATCGTCAAAAAAATATTTGAAAAATCAACAAATTATAAATCAGGCGCTGATTTATGGTCAATGTGATCAGGTTCGAGGGTAGTAAATAGCATAGAACTGTAGGAAATATGCAAAACAATTATTTACAAAACGGATATTTCTAATCTAATGTATAAATAAACGCACAAACCTGTTTATTTCGGGCATTTTCCATTTTCCCAGATCAGCTTTCAAAATGGCCACCTTTCTGCGCATGCGTCGACAAAATTATAGATGGCGCAAATTAATGAATGAAAACTGAAAGTGAAAGTAGGTTACTATATTTACTACACATCTTCAACGCTTCTTATGCAAGTGTCCTAGATGCACTTCCTTTAAGGGGTCGTGTCAATGTAGCCTGAATCATTTCTAGAGTAAATGTACAGCAACAGTTGGGAAAGTGTTTTATTGGGTTAAATTAGTCTACTCTGTGACCCCCATCTACTTGACCAAACACCTTCTTGTTGTAGTGGGGGGGGGGGGACAAGGGATTGTAGTTGGACTGGGTTAAATGAGTTGAAGCAATCTGTCTTTTTTTAATTGTAAAAAGTCTAAAACAATTATCTATTAAAATTAATTTCAGAATTAAAATCTTCTTTAAAATTAATTAATTAGTGCAGCGGGGTCATTCAACGATCATGTCATCGTGTCAAAATATATTTAAGTTTGGATATTTCATCAAGACTAACATCTATTTTTATTATCTACAAAGAAACGCCCTAGATAAACATTATTTTAGCTGATATTCCTCTTGAAACATGGTGGGTCTTAAAAATATAAAAGTGGAAGTCCCCTTTTTGAACCTTTGAACTGAATTTACACTTCTTAATGCTGAAATTGATAATTTATCCATACATTTTAAGAAAATAGGTATGTCACAGAAGATGTTAAACCAAATGTTGCCTTGATAGCCCAGAAAAAATGAAAAAAAATTCCTATTTTCTCTACAGTCCTTATTGCCCCTTTAATTATTAGCTTTTGCAGTTATTGTTACAAGACATAAACATATACAACTTAGTGGAAGCAAAAAATACTGATTAAGGATTGTGTACAAATTGGAAGATATCTTTTTAATAAACATGGCAATGTCTTCCTTACAAATGCAAAATTCACTGATAAAAAATGTGGAAGTTTTTTATTTTTTTATTTTTATTCAGCAGTGATATTACATACAAAGTTATTCAAATTCACCATCTGCATTTTAAGAAGCATATCAATGAATCTTAAATTCAAGGCATTTGAGATGAAGTTAGAACTCTTTGATTTTAGAAAAAATATGACATAGATTACTCTGAGGAAAAATCTTGTAAAACTGGCCTCAAAGCTATTACCAATTTATTTCAATTTTAATTATATGAGATAGCGAAGTAGATTTCTCATATTCTCAAACTTATTTACATGTACTTTTACTGAAGGTATTTAAAAAAGAAGGGAATCTCAAATAGAAGAGGAGGAGGAGGGAAAGTTACGCAACACATTTGGGACAGTCATATGTTGGGTTTTTGGCTATTTTCTGAGGATTTAAACAGGTGCATATATTCGACTGATACATTACCTCCAGGAAAAACACTTCTAGAGATGATAAAATAATTTTGACTTTGAGACAGGGAAGATGCAAACAACCCACCGACACATTTTTTCTGAAATGTTTTCCTGATTTTCAACCCCTTCCACCCCTGCTTTTTTAATTTTTCTTGCATCAATATGTTGTGTTTTGACACACAGTTAACCCCTTTAAAGGAATAAGTGATTCCTTTGGGGGTTTTAAAGAGATCCATTATGGGTGAGCAAAATTAGCTGAAAGCAATGGATTGCATGAGTTTTCCCTATGGGAAAATAACATGGGAAATATTGTTTTCCACTTTTCTAAAAGGAATCAACAGTTGTGGAACAAGGCATTAACATGACAAAATGTCACCACCTAAAACAATTTGGTCAATTTAAAGCAAGTTGAAAAAATACCTCTTTGACTTTTTTTGACATTGAGAAGGTCATTGAATGTCAAATGTCAAATGAAAAGTCAAATTTGAACTTCTGAGAACATGTAGATTTTGAAAAAAAAATTAAGTAAATTTGAAGCAAGTTGAAAAAAGACCTTTTGACCTTGAAAAGGTCATTGAAGGTCAAATGTCAAATCTAAAGTCAGATTTGAACTTCTGAGAACATGTAGATGATTTTGAAAAAAAATTAGTCAATTTGAAGCAAGTTGTAAAAAGACCTTTTTGACCTTGAGAAGGTCATTGAAGTTAAAGGTCAAATCTAAAGTCAGATTTGAACTTCTGAGAACTTGTAAAGTCAAATTTGAACTTCTGAAAAGATGTAGATGATTTTGAAAAAAAAATTTGGTCAATTTGAAGCAAGTTGAAAACAGACCTTTTTTACCTTTTTTGACCTTGATAAGGTCATTAAAGGTCAAATGTCAAATCTAAAGTCAGATTTGGATTTCTGAGAACATGTAGATGATTTTGAAAAAAAAAATTAATCAATTTGAAGCAAGTTGAAAAAAGACCTTTTTGACCTTTGTTGACCTTGAGAAGTTCATTGAAGGTGAAATGTCAAATCTAAAGTCATATTTGAATTTCTGAGAACATGTAGATGATTTTGAAAAAAAATTTTAGTCAATTTGAAGCAAGATGAAAAAATACCTTTTTGACCTTTTTTGACATTGAGAAGGTCATTGAAGGTCAAATGTCAAATCTAAAGTCAGATTTGAATTTCTGAGAACATGTAGATGATTTTGAAAAAAAATTTAGTCAATTTGAAGCAAGTTGAAAAAAGACCTTTTTGACCTTTTTTGACTTTGAGAAGGTCATTGAAGGTCAAATGTCAAATCTTAAGTCAAATCTAAAGTCAGATTTGAATTTCTGAGAACACGTAGATGATTTTGAAATTTTTTTTTAGTCAATTTGAAGCAAGTTGAAAACAGACCTTTTTGACCTTTTTTGACCTTGAGAAGGTCATTGAAGGTCAAATGTCAAATCTTAAGTCAAATCTTAAGTCAGATTTGAATTTCTGAGAACACATAGATGATTTTGAAAAAAAAATTTAGTCAATTTGAAGCAAGTTGAAAACAGACCTTTTTGACCTTTTTTGACCTTGAGAAGGTCATTGAAGGTCAAATGTCAAATCTAAAGTCAGATTTGAAGGTCAAATGTCAAATCTAAAGTCAAATCTAAAGTCAGATTTGAATTTCTGAGAGCTTGTAGATGATTTTGAAAAAAATTTTAGTCAATGTGAAGCAAGTTGAAAAAAGACCTTTTTGTCAATTTGAAGCAAGTTGAAAACAGACCTTTTTGACCTTTTTTGACCTTGAGAAGGTCATTGAAGGTCAAATGTCAAATCTAAAGTCAGATTTGAAGGTCAAATGTCAAATCTAAAGTCAAATCTAAAGTCAGATTTGAATTTCTGAGAGCTTGTAGATGATTTTGAAAAAAATTTTAGTCAATGTGAAGCAAGTTGAAAAAAGACCTTTTTGACCTTGAGAAGGTCATTGAAGGTCAAATCTAAAGATTTGAACTTCTGAGAACATGTAGATGATTTAGAAAAAAATTGAAGTCAATCTAAACAGTATTTGTTAAGTTATAGGAAGTTGTAAGAAATTGTTACAGACGCCGGACGCCAACCTCCAACCACCAACCGCCGTCGCAAAAAAACGGAGACCATAACAATATGTCACCACTTTTGGTGGTGACATAATAAAGCAAAGTTAGTTTTTTTTATTTTAGGGGGAGGGGGTAAATTATGGTTTCATTAGCGAATAGTGTTAATTTTATTATACTCAATTGACCCTTTTCCATATAAATGGAAAAATAGATGGCATCATGGGTATTGGTAGGGCTAAATAACATGGCAACTTAATAGCAAGTAATTCCATTTGGATCAACTTAAAACACTATTAAGAGTAAATGAACTTTTGAAGGTTTTTCAACATTGTGCCAATGGGAATTTAGCCCGACCATTTTTTGAAAACTTGAAAATCTCTAGAATTTGAATAAAGGTAACTAACAGTGCAAATCAAAGTTGTTTTGATAGAAAATTACACACAGAATTCGTATATGCCATCAAATAGAAGAAAATGTTAGTTTTTAGTAGTTAAAAATGCAGATCTCTCATTAAAACGAGACTTTAGCGGGATTTCAAAGCTATATGGAAAAGCCTCTATTGAAAGACAAGGATGAGGAGGCAACTAACTTCTTTTTTCCACAACTGTTGATAATTAAACACCATTACTTACATAAACAAGTTTAAAATATTCTATAAAAATATTTATTTTTACATACATTGTAACTACATGTACATTGTAAATTCATTAACCATAGACTCATCTAGTATATTCCCTCTCTAAACCCTCAAAAGTCACTTTAAGGGCCAATAGCAAATTCCCATGGTAAACAACCATAAACAATTTCTTATTCATAATAATATGAAAGGGAATGTGCTAAATGAAATGCCATGTGTTGAAATAAAAACCAGGACCTTCCAGTCAGAGTCTGATGCTCTAACCCTGAGCAATCAAGACTTAAGTCGACACAGCTGAGCTGTAGTAGCAACTTGTCATCCAGGGATGTTACAAATATATTGACAAGGACATGGAGAATTAGATTATGTTGAACATCACTGGATTGCCTTTTAAAATTGTAAAAGTGCAAATACTTCTATTCTTCTTTTTAGAAGAGTAGGTTTATATCCAAGTTTATTGATGGTGTAAGTAACATTATGATACTGTTATAAATATAAACAAGGCACAGGACGTAAACGAGATCACACCATCAAATAGGCAGACACTATGAACCAGGAAAACTGTTCTCCTATTATGTTTACAAATTTCAAGAACAAGAAAACAAGATGGCCGCCCAAAAGTTAATCAGCTCTAGTACTTGATATCCTCTATCATTTGTGTAAATTTGAAGGAAATCCGATGAGCGGTTTTCCTGAAATGGCGATGACAAGATTTTTCGAAAAACCTTCAAAATGGCCACCAGAAAACAAGATGGCCACCCAAAAGTTAATCAGCTCTAGTACTTGATATCCTCTATCATGTGTGTAAATTTGAAGGAAATCCGATGAGCGGATTTTCTGAAATGGCGATGACAAGATTTTTTGAAAAATCTTCAAAATGGCTGCCAGAAAACAAGATGGCCGCCCAAAAGTTAATCAGCTCTAGTACTTGATATCCTCTATCATTTGTGTAAATTTGAAGGAAATCAAATGAGCGGTTTTCCTGAAATGGCGATGACAAGATTTTTCGAAAAACCTTCAAAATGGCTGCCAGAAAACAAGATGGCAACCCAAAAGTTAATCAGCTCTAGTACTTCATATGCTGTATCATCTCTGCGAATTTGGAGAAAATCTGATGAGCAGTTTTCCTTAAACGGCGATGACAAAAAAGCGGGACGATCACGACCATGATCACGACCACGATCACGACCACGACCACGACCAGTATGACGACTATATCCCACCGATGGTGTGATAAAAAATATTTTAAAGTTATTTAGGATGAGAATTACAAATATACTAGTATGTCCTTGAATTTCCCATTTTGTTAATAGGAATTGGCAAGCTATAAATAGTACAGAAATTTTTAAAATTGTGTTCCCTTATGAACTATTTCTCCTTCTCCGAGGCCTTTTTGCATGGTTGATTATGATGATATAAGAAAAATAATTCTAATCAGGTCCCCATAAACTAGTTGAAAGGAGACACCAATCATTGGAGATAATAGTATTATATTATAGTTAACTATAGCTTGCCAATACATTGAAAAAATGGTAAACTTCATCTGAATCATACACGCCAACTTCTGTATTGCATTCTGAACATGTCACTGGGTGTACTTTGTCACTGTCGTCTGCTTCAGTACTACCACTAGGGCCATCTATTACCATTGAATTGTCATCTTGATTCTGTTGTCCATCTGTTAAAACACTAGCTGCATCTGGTGAGTCTTTCTTTTTATTTTTGTTAAGCTTTTTTTGTCGTTTACTAAGTTTTTTGTTCACTTTTTCAGCAGGATATCTTAGGATTTCCGTGAAGTTTGTTGAACAGTTCATTACAAACATAGCTCTGTATTGTGTCTTGTATATATCATGCCTGGAAAAAAATAGCTCTGTATAGTGTTATGTATAAACCATGTCTTGAATAAAACATAGCTCTGTATAGTGTTATGTATATTATATATCATGCCTGGAATAAAACATAGCTCTGTATGGTGTCCTGTACATATCATGCCTGGAAAAAAACATAGCTCTGTATGGCAGTATGGTGTCTTGTATATATCATGCCTGGAAGAAAACATAGCTCTGTATAGTGTTTTGTATAAACCATGTCTTGAATAAAATATAGCTCTGTATAGTGTTATGTATAAACCATGAGGTATCGAAGATCAATTTATTTCCAAAATGGTTAAGTGGCCACCTTGAAAATTTCCTTAAACAGAGCTCCCATGCCACCTCTCAACAGAATTTAAAATTTGTACTAAATCTGTTAACTAGTATTTGAGTATATATTAAAATTTTAAATTTCTATTTTGAATAAATTGAGTAACTTTATTGAAAATTCCTTCTCAAACAGATCTTGTATCCAAAGAAGCCATTTGCCTATAACATTTGGTATCTCACCAGCCAAATTCTCATAAGAAAGTGTAATATGCTTCTACTACTGACTATCCAATGGTGCAATGCTTTTTCTATTTGAACATCTAACTTTCTAGATACTGTAAATTGCTTTAATTTGATGGACATTTTAATTTGGTGGATTGATAAAAACCGCAAAATTACCTCAACCAATTTTTTGAAAAAAATCCCAGGGATTTTCGTCCAGTTACTTTTTCCTGTGTTACCTTGCACAATAGAACTTCGGTGAAAATCTGAAAAAATTAGACTAGGCCAAAGTAACTTAAAAGTTTGTTTAAAAAGATATTAAATTTATTTATATTATTATTAAACATTATACACAAATAAGGCACAAGCTTTAACAATACCAGGATAATCCCATTGTATCAATCTGTGTAAATGTTTTTGAATATATAATTTGATCAATACTGTAACGGAATTTTAAATGTAAAATTTTTGATTTTTAATAAAGTGCTGTATTTTTGTACATTAGGTAATTATTACACCTGGAAAGTAATTTCCCATTGAGATTATTAAGATTTATAAATGTAGTATCATTTGCAGCACTTAGGTTGTACTTACAGAGGTGAAACAGTTCGCATGTTTTATTTATTTGATCACGATTTTGTTTATGTTGATCGGGCAGTCTTATCTGGCAGTCTAATTTGTAGTTGATCGGTAGTCTAACATGACACCTTTATTATTTTACTTCCTGCTTTTGATTCGATTGAATCGAAGTGAAATTAGACTAGATAGTGATTAATTACTGTTATATTTCTTGAGTCAATATTATAATCTTGCTGTATGATCAATATTGAAGCGAAATATGGCGTAAATAAGCTGTAATTCACAGTTGAAATCTTGTACGAAAATTGATGACGTCATCCGGCCTATATAAGTATCTCGCTGTTGAAGGATCGTCAGTGCGATGCCAGATGTTGTCGAGGAAGGACCTCCAGAGCGGAATTTCGGGAAACAGCTAAAATCTTCTAAGTTTTATAGAACTTAGTTGATTTTGTGGTCTTGAAGCTATACGTTTGCAGTATACACATGAAGATAGAAGCTGTACCTTAGTAGAATACATCTGATGAGCCAAGCTATACGTTTGCAGTATACAAGGGCAGATTGAGGAAACTAAGTGTGAGGAACTTAGTTTATTTTGGAACTTGGATTTTTGGAAACTTTGATGTAGCTAAGTTTATTTACCGCACTGGAAGTAAGGAAGATCTACAAGACTGGACAAAACTTCGACAGGGTGAAGCTATCCCCAGCGCAAAGCATTAGACGTATTGTCCAGCCTTCATAGACTGAGAGGAAATGCTGACATAACTTGTGTTTGAGAAACAAGCTATTTTGATCATCAAGGAACTTAGACGATTTACAACATTATTGGACTTAGTCAGTATTTGGTGAAACATTATTTTGGACTTTGTTATTTTTGGAGATAGAAATATTTAAGTTAGAATATTTTAACATCAGTATAACTTAGTATGAAATTAACTTAGTCAATATTTGGTGAAATATTATTTTGGACTTTGTTGTTTTTGGAAAGAGAAATATTGAACTTAGAATATTTTAATATCAGTATCACTTAACATTAAATTAACTTAGTCAATTTTAAAGGGCAAATATTTTCACATGTTATATATTTGCATATGTCGTTGTGTGCATGCTATATTTGTAGGTAGCCTTATTATTTAATTGTGAAGGAAGTAGGCTACATGGACTTAGCAGTTGATGCCGTGTATTAGAAGTTCTTGGACTTGGTAGTTTGAAGATTGTGATAGTTTGACTTATACATCTACATTGAAGAGGTTCCAGGACTTAGCAGTTTATCCAACGAGATATTTTGACTTTGATGATTTTGGGTCATTGAAGTTAGAATATACATCTATAGAGAGGACGTTCCAGGACTTAGCAGATTATCAAGCGAGATATTTTGACTTTGATGATTTTGGGTCATTGAAGTTAGAATATACATCTACAGAGAGGACGTTCTAGGACTTAGCAGATTATCCAGCGAGATATTTTGACTTTGATGATTTTGTGTCATTGAAGTTAGAATATACATCTACATTGAGGAGGATCCAGGTGATAGCCGTGTACAAAACTGATAGTTTGACTTAGATTATTTCACATAATCAAAGTTGAATTATACTACAGCACAGAGAGAAAGATCCAGGTGATAGTCGTTTCCAGACCTGATAGTTTGACTTAGATTATTTAACATAATCAAAGTTGAATTATACTACAACACATTGAGGAGGATCCAGGACTTAGGAGTTTACACAACTGATAGTTTGACTTGGATTATTTCACATAATCAAAGTTGAATTATAATACAACACAGTGAAGAGGATCCAGGAGATAGCCGTTTACAGAGCCGATAGTTTAACTTAGATTATTTTACATAATCAAAGTTGAATTATACTACAACCCAGAGAGGAGGATCCAGGAGATAGCCATTTACCGAGCCGATAGTTGACTTGATGATTTCACATTATCAAAGCTGAATTATACTACAATACAGTGAAGAGGATCCAGGAGATTTACGTTTACGGAGCAATAGTTGGACTTAGATGATTTCACATCATCAAATTTGAATCATACTACACTACATAGAGGAGGATCCAGGAGATTACTATTTCAGGTTCAAGTTACAAGTACAATACAAGACGTACAAGTATTACAACATATATGAACTTTTAATATTGGAGATACAACAGTGGTATATAGTGATCATCTACTTTAGTTTATATGGACTCTGGATATTGTGTTCTTAGTGATTATTATTAGCTTATACGGACTCTAGATATTGCTTTATTAGTGATAAATATTAGCTTATATGGACTTTTGAGTTGTGAGTTTTGAGAGAGATAATAATATCGTAGCATTTTAACCTTCATACTTGACATTTAATGTACATCTTTATTTGGGCTTATAAACGCCACAATATACTGTTTTATATTTATATTTAATTGTATATGTCTGTTTAATTCTTTAGGGACAATCGCACATTTAACGTGTGCCGTGTAACTCACCAAGTAAACACCGTTTACTAAACAGTGGGCCTATTATAAGCCACGCTACCACGTATATCCACAAAAATAGGCCAAACTGTTACATTGGTGGCAGCGGTGGGATTGACTGTTTCTGAGGAATTGAACCAGAGGCACATTATAGCACTTTAAAGATGGATACAGAAGCTCCAAAGTCGATAGAGAGTGGTGATCTCTCTGATACAAATATAGACAAGTCTAAAGATGTAGAAAAGACTGTCTTTGTAAAGTTAGCTACAGACGGTGAGATAGATAATCCCATAGCCAAGGATGACACTCTTCAATATACAGGAAGAAAGGCTACGGAACACATGGCTACAGAACTCCCAGCGATGGAGAAATGGAGGTTGCCAAGTGAGGCAGATCCAGATGAGAGACACCCTACAGTTGGTGGTGCAGAAGCAATCTACCCTAGTGATAAGACTGGGATAGAAACAGAGTTTAAGAAAGCTTGGGGTGGACAGACTACTGGCTATTGGTCACGCACAGTACATGATGGTGTTTATAGTCCACAGAGTCAAGCATGGGGAGCCAGACCCAAAGGAGATAGATATATGCCTCGCACCTCAACAATGATAACTACACCTGCAGAACTTAAACTGGGCACGCAGGAAAGACCAGTTGATAGAGAAATGAAAACACATATACATGTTATGGAAGATGCCATTAACCAGAATGTGACTACCATAAACATGATGGAAGGACAGGTGTCTAATATGGAGGGACACATGTCTCATATAGAAGGACAGGTGGCTAACATGGAAGGACACATGTCTAACATGGGAAGCCAGGTCAACAACATTGGAGGAGATTTAACACAGATGAAAGACCAGATGAACAATTTATGCCAGACATTACAGATGGTATTGCAAAGTTCAACTTCTCGTCCTGAACCAGTTTTACAGGGTGACGTCAGACCTTCAAGTCCTGTAGTGAAATTAGGAACAAGTGTAGACACCAGAACAATGTTACAGGCTAAGTCCAGTGCGACTCCTCAGAGATTACAGTCTCGAGAAGTTCTTTCTACGTTTAATCCACAGCAAGGAGTGGTAGGGGGGCCTACATTAGTTAATCCAGAATTAACTGCTGATCAACCCAGAATAGTAACTCCCCCAAAGTGGCCACTCAGACGCCAGAAGAGAATTGCTTCTGATGAAGATTTTCCAGGACTGCCAAAGAGACCTGCATTTAAGAGTCCTCCGACAAAAAGGAGAGTTGTAGCTGTAAAGTCAGAAGATGACTATGGATTCGGAGAGACAAAGTTTGTGGGAACACCGAGTAAAAGAATGTTTGTACCTCAACAGACTCAAAGTCAGCCTTCCAAGGATAGATACCGATCCACATATGATGAATTACCGAATGAGGCTGAAACCAGATATGAAGAAGCTCTGCAGACTAATGCAAATATGACACATTTTAC